GTTTCCTCGACAGAATGAAAAGTTAATCCTCACAGAGTGAATCAGTTCAAACATATTAAAGCTGCGGCCTCATCTCGTCCCTCCTGCGCCGCTTTAGCTGCTTTAAACCAAACCAACCGGAGCTTTTCTCACCTGAGATTGGAAGAAAAAAGGCAAGAAGCAGCAGCCGCTGGCGCCGTTTCCCTTTCAGAGGAGCCATTTACGGTAATTGTCCAGCATGCCAGCTACTCTCTCATGGCTGTTTCCTCCGCATGAGCCGCACTAACACTGACGAGGACAGAGATGCACAGGGGTAGTTTCCCTCCTCTGGGATGGACGGAGGCAATTAATCACCCCCACCGAGTCAGCGTGTGGTCCAGCGCCCCCTGCAGGCAGGACGCACACACTCCGGTTCACACGCATACAGATAAAACCAAGATTTGATTCATACAGGCCATTTTAATGTGATAATGTTTATTTAAATTAAAGGAATCACAGATAATTAAACCAGGGGTGTTCAAAGTGTGGTCCGGGGGCCATTTGTGGCCCTCTGAATGACTCGAATCTGGCCTGCAAGAGCAACAAAAGTAATTTCTGATTTATTAACAAGGCTTCTGCATTCAGAAACAGACACTGATTAATATATTGTTGCTGAAAAACAACCCCCAAAAAACAAGGAAACAGTGTGACCGTCTTTTAATAAAGTTATTAAGGAACCTTAGTATCATTCAGATCCACAATTATTTACAGATCCTTCTTGTGTAAAAGTCCCTTTTCAATAAAATCATGCACATTTAGTTCAGTTTACTGAGAAGATACAATAACAGAGGCAAAACAAATTCATTTTAATCTTTTTTGTTTTATTTTCGTCCTGGCAGTTTTGTCCCTCATGGCAAAAAGTTTATTAAATTAATTTAAAACTATAAAAGAGAACAATCGTTCCTCCTTAGTGAGCTTTATGTGCATGCTCTATATTAATACTATGTTTGTGTAAAAGCAGTAATTTCCAACAAGTTATGTCTAATTTATAAATAAGATTCCCTCAGAGTTTGTATGTAGTGTGTTAAAACTGTTAAACTGTGATGAACCAGTGAAACCAGTGAAACCAGTGAAACCATGGCTTTCCCCATCAGGATCCTTCCCCTCATCAATACGTCACGTCGATGAGAGCAGATCCATCAGGATCAGAGTCAGGCTGCTCACCAAATGGTCTCTGCAGACCCTGAGAAAGAGAAATGTTGATGAAAATGAGTTTGTCCCCTCAAAGTGTGACCCGCAATTACCAGGAAGCATCGATGGGAGCCGGACAGCTGCTGCATCGATCCGCCGTCCGTCACTGATGGAGGACGGAAACACACCCCCACGAGGGTACCACACACACACGCGCACGCACACACACACACACACACACTTCCTCCATGTGTCATTCAGCAGCAAAGACCAGATGGGATAGAAAAATGTATCTGTCATGAATGGTGGTTGAATTTGGACCCAACTGAAGAGATGCAGAGGCAGAAGTTGAGTTGGTGGATTTAATGAATAATCTTAGAAAATAAAAAGTCCAGGAAAGTAACTGGAACACTGGACAACAAAACACAAGACAAGAACCGGCGAGTTGTGAGTAAGAATGAGGAGGTTAAATGCTGAAAGTTTAAACCAAGGAGCTGGTTTAATGAGAAAAGTGATGCAGGTGAGAGAGATTGGCACAGCAGCTGCCTGAGGGGCAGGAGAAGGTGGCAACAGGGGAGCTAAGAAAATATACTGGGTGAAAAACACCAGGGAACTAAAAATATATATTTCTAATACAAACACTAAGACTAAAGAAAACCTGGTAAACTAGAGGAGAAAAAGACAAGAGGGAAAAACATAAACAAACCTAAACTGAAGCAAGGCTGATCTAACAGCAATAAGAACCTAGAGCTAGAATAACTAGAAGATCTAAACAAAAAAATAACCTAATTACAATCACTACAAAAAGATGGACATAGATTGAGACAAAAAGACTAAACCTAAAGTAACAAAACTAGAAAACTAGAAACACTTTGGGGGAAAACTAGAAGAAATAACTTAACTGGAGCCACTAGAGAAAGGTGAACTGGACTCAGACATGCAAGAACAACTGAAATAACCAAGAAATAAACATTAGAAACACGACAGGGAGGCTGAATTAAGGAATAACTAGAAGGACTAAAGAAATAACTTAGCTGAAAGAAAGACATACATAAACTCAGACATCACAGAATAACAATAATAAAACTAAAATCTATCTGTCTGTCTGTCTATCTATCTATCTATCTATCTATCTATCTATCTATCTATCTATCTATCTATCTATCTATCTATCTATCTATCTATCTATCTATCTATCTTTGCTCTAGAAGTTAGACCATAAATACTTGGTACACTGTAAAACATTTTAAGGTGGTTTAACTTGAAAATGAAAGTCCACCTGCTGCCTTGAAATGCAATTTAAGTCAAGAAGAAAATTATTTTGGTTTTATCTCAGAAGTTAAAGTTCCTGAAGTCGATTTAACAACAAGAGACAAACTGACTAAACCTTGTTTTTTAGGCTCATTAATCTTGAATTGAGCTTTAACTTAATGCTGCAATTTAAACCAAGTAATTATGCAGGAAAAACCTGCTCTCACCTGGTTAAAGAGCCACATTTCTCTATTGTTTTACTCACAATATAAAGTTAAAATGACCACTTACTTTAGAATAGTTTAAATTCTTGTTTCAAACTGCATGAAATTTATTAATGTGATGAAATTTATTAAACATCACAACGAATTGTCCTGAAAAACATTTAGCAGGAACAGGAAGTTACCCTCCAGGTTTGCAAACTTAATAACACACAAGAGTCAGACCAATGTAACACTTCAAGACAGGAAACCAAACAAGCCGCTAAGCATTCTGGGAAATGGTTCCCACTCCTGTCTAATTTCTTCTTTCAGTTTTTTAAGTCTTAATCTACAAACTAGTTTATTCAACTGCTGGAGGTTTGACTAAATTAATAAAAAGTTAACACAGCTCGTTGGTGTAAGTTTAAAACTCGCTGCATTTATTTGACTGGACGACAGTAGGTGGTAGTAAAAGTGGCTGAGAGGTTTTACAGTGTGACGTCTTTTTAACTCGACTCTTCCAGGAGTTAGGAACGGATCGGTTCGGTTCTCTTGCTTAAGGTGGGAAAGCGAGCAGCTCCTGGCCACTTCCTGTCTCCGTTCAGTCAGTCGGGTTCTGGGTTTGGACCAGTAGGCCGCAGTCGGTGAGTAGAGTGAAGCTCTAGGCTCGGGTCAGGCTCTGCTGCAGCCCGATCAATTCCTTTCACTCATTATCAGCTTATGCTTTCTCTGTGAGCGTGTTGGTCCAAAGGAACCAGCCTTCCCAGTACCATCTGCCGTTGGGTCAGTGTGGTGTCCCCCCGCCTGCGCCCATCCCCGCTGACCTCCAGAAGAGTCCGAAAGGCTGGCCTGAATTGTGCGTGACCTTTCCGCTGACCCCCATGGAGGGAAGGGGCTTTACTGCCTCAATGCAGGAGGCAGAAAGAGACAATAGGGCTGCAGCTCTGCAGCCGAGGATCACCAGCTTTCAGAGAAGGAGGACGTCCATTTCATACCGCAGGGCTGCAGAGAATCACTTACTGATCAATGATTTAACTGGTTTGAAGTCCTGAAATCTCATCAAATACAGTGAGAATATACACTAAAAAAAGAAACATGATTATTTCTCACTGTCTGAAGTTAGATTATACCAAACATTTCTCGTTTTATGTCACTCAGAATTACCAGAATTATTTATTTTTTGCAAAATGTTACAAAACTTGAGATTTTTTTCTAACTTATTTTTGTCTTTGGTCCAGTTTCCAGTGTTAATATCTTGAAATAAGGTAAAACTTTTCAGCAAGATATTAGAGCTTGTTATATCGATTTTAAAAAGTATTAGCTCCTCTTGCAGATTATTTCACTTATAACATGACAAATTTTCACAGGTTTTAAGTGAAAAAAAAATCTGCCAGTGGAACTTTTTCATCAATGTTAAGGATTTATTTACTCAAAACAAGCGCCTACATCTTCTAAAAAGTTAGTTTATCTTATTTCAAGTGAGCTAAGATGTTTACACTAGAAACTAGACCAAAAGTACTTGGTGATACTTTGTGTTTTTGCATTGACCAGCGGATCCCACCGAACCCCACCGAACCGTGACTCTGCAAATATGTGACGCCCAATGTGAGCTTTAACGCCCCCTGCTGGATCAATTCAGCATCAAACTACGACATCCTCAACAAAACAAAAGCATTACCTTGTACTAAGGAGTAATGACACTCAAAGGAGATTAGATAAGCTTATTTAAAAAAAAATTAGAGAATAAGCAACAAATATCGCTGCAATTGCATCCATTTAAAAAACGTTAAAATAGATGTTAAAGGAAATTATTTTCTGATCAGGTTTATAAATAAGAGAACCATGAAGGAAGGAAGTATTAATGCTAGACAGAAACTTTACATTTACATCAAGTTTACATGATAATACATGGAGACAAATATTTACACTATGTGTGTCTGGAAAATTATTAATGCCGCACCAATACACAAAACAACAGTAATTATTTTTATTTTGACGACCGTCTCACTGTGTGACACTTCCTGTTGCCAGGCAGATTTTTTGTGTTTCTGATTTCCTTTGTACTTTTTCCATGATGACTTTACCACACAACAACTTTACTGAATTTAAAAAACAAGAACTGTGTGATAAAAAACCAGTAAAAACAGAAACGATCTGTAATGAGGTAAGTACTTTTTTACAGCATTTTATGTAAATATTTCAGCCTGGAAGCATAATTATGAGCATGTTTGTGCAACCAGCTGTAGTTTTTTAAATTCCTTACAGTTTTTTTTAAAATAATCATTCAAGCACGACAAAAACATCAAAATATAAACATATTTATACCCATGGCAAGCGTATAAAACCTTTTTGCCCCACGTCATAAGAAATAAGCAAATAACTTGACATAAAGTCGTTGCATTCGGGGTTTTATGTGTTTATTTTGCAAACATTTATATTCAGTCTATAGATATGCTATAGGTAGTTAAAATTAATGAAAAAAATAATTCTGCCCTTTTTTCTGCTGTAATGTCGCCTCTAGCATACAAAGAGATATGATAACACCTTTAAAGTCTACATAACGTGTCACAAATGAAGGCCTTGATATTTCTCTTTAAAATGAATGTGAAAGGAGAGAAAGTGCTCGTTTTAAGCAAAGTTCACATGTAAACATTTAAACACATGAAGCAAAAGGTCATGAGTGATTCAGACAGTCTGCAGTTTGGCAAAGGTTCAGAAGTAAGACTCGTCAACAAAGTGCTTCACTTTATAAAAGCAGGAGTAAGAAAAACGTCAGACAGGAAGCGGGCCGCGTTATCGTCCACCCTCGCCGATCTGTAAACATGGCAGCTAGTGTAAACGCATTTCACCGGTCAGAAAATGTTAAAACTGCTGCTCAAGTACAGCCATTTCATACAAAGGTATCACAAATTAGTTCTCAGTTTGAGAAGAACAATCTGTACACAAAAAAACGTTGACGATGCGCTCTCAAAAACGGAGCTGCAATCAGACGCCCCCTGATGAGATAAAAACGGTGATGTCACAGGACAAAAAAAATAAAAAAAAAACAAAAAACTATTTAACATGTTAAGGCCACCTGGCAAAGGTTTAAGCTAAAACCCAGGGATAAAAAGTGAATTTACATCAATTCTTCCGGTGCAATCAGAGTGGAGAAAGATGCTGAAGGTAGATGTAAAAGGCACAGGTGTGTCTGCAGGTACGTTAACGCAACATGAGAAAAACTAAAAATTTAAGAGGTACTTGGGTATTTTACATCAATATATACATGAGTGCATAGTATCCAACACTGTGTGCTGCAGCCACTTCTGCTCCTCTATGGATGACACAGAAACAATAATTACTGAAGCTTCTCACTGGTCCAGGTTCATCACTACCTCAACAATCTAATATTCACCAACACATTTAGATTAACTCGTCGCTCAAACGTGTATGTAACGCTGTCCGCTGTAAGTGGCTTTGAGGTCCATGCATCCAAATATCTGAAATACTGGAATGAAAAATGTAAAATACAGGAAATAAACTGATGGGGAAAAAAAGCTGTTCACAACGATTTTCAAACTAAATCAAAACGGTTAGGTATTTTAAAATAGTGACAAATTTAGTTTTTTATTTTAAGAAGAAGTTTGAGCTCAGATGGCGACTCTGGTTAGTCACCATCTTTATCTGGTTAACAGGTCATCTTTATCTGGTTAACAGGTCATCTTTATCTGGTTAGTCGCCATCTTTATCTGGTTAACAGGTCATCTTTATCTGGTTAGTCGTCAGTCACTACCATCTTTACTGCTGGTAGCGACTGATATGTTTCTGTTCAGTTGTGAAAAGTTTATAAAATAAACATTATTTTCCTGTCGATTGAACTAAAGCAAACTAAATGGTAGTAAATGTTACTTTTGTTGAATGAGATGGTCTGAATCCAGCTGCTTTGTGCAGCCGGATGCAGCTGGACTTTTCCACACCAGTGCCTCAGATACGTTCAGGGAGGCATGAATTCATTACTTCACAGTATTTATGCATATCGGCTCACAAAAAAAAAAAAATCAACCTATGTTTAACACATCACAGCATTTAACCAGAACAAGTGACAGTAAATACATACACCTCTGAGCGGCTCCCCATAAGGAATCTGATTTGTAAACGTTGAAAGGTGCAGATAAATAAAGTATCTGTCTCTTTTTTCCTCCTGTGAGCTCCGTCAGTGGACCGAGCGACGGCTCTGAGGTTTTCCTTCATCTGACCCTCAGCTGGCAGGTCGCGGTCCTGGTCTGACTGCAGCAGCATCCGCTCCCCTCGTCCAATCACGGCGGCCGTTAGTCGACGCCGTCGAAGCCCTGGGCGTTCTCGATGGCGATGTTGAGCTTCTCCCTGAGCTTCTCGAACGACTCGTAAGGAGGGAGGTCCAGACGGTTGAAGCTTTAGGGGAAGAGGAGGAAAATGATCAGGATCAAATCTGCATGTGGGGAGAATCTCTAATAGGGATGAATTAGAATGAAAAATGCCTGATTTTATTTATTGTTTCAAAAACAAGCAATCAGCAGGAAAGAGGAAACGTCTGCATACATAACGAAGAAACTACACTTTGAAACTAATCCTACCCCTTAACTCAATTTAATGAAATATACAACTTATTGACTCAATAATCATCAAAAATATTAAATTAAAACCATGTTATAATATTTGTGTGCCTGTTCAGCATACTGTGTTAAAGAGACACCAAATAAATTATATTACAAAATGGTTACAAACCAACAAGACAAGAAAATCTACAGATACTAACAGTAATAATAATAATAATAATAATAATAATAATAACAATAATAATCGTAAATAACAATTGGACATACAGCATCAGAATAATTACTAAATCCTAACCAAATTCTTCTTAATCTGTGTTATGTAACAATAAATAAAATTTAAAATTAAAAAACAGAGAAAAAAATGATACTAATGACAGTAAGATAACAAAATAAACAACTATTAACACAGAAAAAGGAAGGGAGAAACTCATATTTGTGTTAATTTCCATCTTCCCTGTCCAGTGTGAGTATCATAGCTTTGTTTGTATTTTTAAACTAGTTGATGTTTTGACATTGTTTTAGCTCCATATTCATTTCATTCCAGCTACTGTGATACAAAATCTTTTCATAGCTGTTTGGACGCTACACATTTTGAAATTCAGTGTTCAGTCGAAGTCTGATAAAGAAGCCGACTGATCAGACAGAAAGGAAAGTTGAGTGGAAGGAAAAAGTGTGATTGAAGTGCATTTAAAAACCTATTTCACTTTCATAAGCTGAGATGCTTTGACTGTTTCTGGCATTAAATGACTCACTGACAGCCACTGACTGATTTATGAGCAAATCTTTATGTTTACAGTAGATTTTAATCCAGTTTAATTTGATGATGTTGTTTTTAATGGATGAAGCGCTCACCATGTGTGGGCTCTGGGAAGTTTATCACTGGTTCCCCAGAGCTCGATGGTAAACAGCTGCGGTCCGTTAGAGCCTGAAAGTAACGACAGAAACAACAGGAGACGTTTTACTGACGTCAGTTCAGAAAAACACAATAAAAAACAAAGTAATAAACACTGGAAATTAAAGCCTATTTTTAAGTGAAACAGAAGAAATTACAGTTTTTTTGTTAAGGGCTGAAGTGATTAATCGATTATTGAAATAATCATCAAACAATTTAGTAATCGATTATTGAAAACTGGAGTAAAAAAAACTATTTGCTGAAAGAACACCACACAAAATTAAACAAAAACATTTACATTTTGAATTTAATTTAATAAAAAATCCTTCTTTCTCCGTAAATATGTTCAAACCAGAAGTTTTAGCTTCACCTCTTTCAAATTCTGCAGAAAACCTTTAGCTGTCTAATTATTACTGACTTAATCCAATTTTTAAAACTTATAAATATTTCTTTGGCTGCAGATGCTACAAAAACATCAAGTGTTGACCAAACAAATGATATGTTGTCGAAATAAAATGTTTATTTTCTTAATTAAGAAAGGAATTGAATTATTTATTTTCATCTTTTAATGCATTTCTAATTATGTGGTTAAAAATCTACAGACTGTGCCTTTTTTCTGTCTCACCGTAAAGTTCTGCGAACCCGTTCATCGGGACTCTGGACGTTCCCGTCACAAACTGCAGGAGTCGGATTCTCTTTTCTGCATCCATCAGCAGCACCGTCTGCACAAATCAATAAACAATAATCAATAAACAATCACATCCCAGCCAAATGACGGACTCTGAACCGAGGTGAGGAAGATGCTCTTGCCTTCCAGAACCACTGGATGACCATGTGGTCGCCACAGTAACCGTTCTTGTACTTGGTGTTCTGCCTCCAGTCGTTCACGTCCACGTCTCCCAGGCCGCACATGAGCAGCTGGGAAAAGAGTAAAAACACGGAGAGCGGATTATAATCTAGGTTTTCCCACAGGTTTATTAAACATTTTAACACCAGATCAACTACATAAAAACTCACCTCAAGCTCGTTCTCATCAAAAATCCTGATCAGATCCTTTGGTATCAGCTCAAAGAAACCCTGAAACACATAAACATTTACTTTTTCTTTTCCTCCATTTTTACTGCTTCACCACCTCAGAAACATTTACTTACCTCTTTGAAAGCCATCATCTGTTTCTGTATCCTGTTCACAAATCTCCACTGCATCACCAGGCTGCCACACACAAAACGTATGATAAACCCGTCATTTAAGCTTTCAGAGCAGTAATAAACGTATCTGAGTGGTTCTTACTCGATGTATTGCTTCTTGTTTTCATTGGTGACAACAATCTCAGAGCCTCCCGGTTTCAGGTCATGCTGGTGAGTCTGCAGGACGATATTTATTATTTATTACAAGTTATTTAAATTAAATGTCTGGAGGAAAGTGTTGGAGATGCTGAACATGCCTCTCCAAACAGCTCCTCATCAATGGTGAACCTCAGGTCCAAATCCTCCGGGTCGTTCTCCAAAATCCACTTTAAGGAGTTAAAGTACTCGCTGTCCTAAATTGAAACAGACGCAGATTGAAAACGGTCAAAATGTTCCAGGTAATTTTCAGTTCATCGTCTCCAAACGCGGTGGAACTCACGACAGACTCCATGTCCTGCAGCGTGATCGGCTTCTGCAGCATCATCTTGTAGAACGGCCGGATGAAGAACGCTAGAGAGGTAAACCGAGAGACGAGGCTCAGAAAACATCCATCATCGCAGCAGGAGGAGTTTTTATCAACGTTGAAGCACCACTTCCTGTTCAGTCAGGAAGCGCTTACCATCAAGGAGTTTTCCGTGAAACACCGCCATGCCAGCCACACGACCAATGAACTTGAAGTAGGTCAGGTGGTCTTCATTGCACAAACCGGAGTTGGGGTTGATCTGCAGCGTGTAGTTGTCTCTGAAAGGAACAGAAGATTAACGAAAACAAATTCAGTTTTTCAGCTTGTGTGCGTGTTTCTAGTGTCAGAAGCAACACCAAAGCTCTGACTGATGCTTATCTGAGGTAATGTGATTCGCTGGGTTTGGTTACAGACGACGTTCTGGGGTGTTGGATGATAAAGAACCGACTCTAACCAGCTGGCTCAGATGAAATCAGATGGCAGGACAGACAAGACGTTTTCTCAATCGGCAACAAAATAACAGCAACGCTCTCTCTCACGGCGACTCAAGCTTGGCCTAGTTAAAGCCCTCTGACCTGAAAACTAACAAGTCAGCAGCAGAAAGGGTTGCTTGCTTCTCTATTAAGCAAAACATGCAAAGAACTAAAATTAAAGTGCATTTTTACCTGAGTGAACGATAATCAGGCCAACACAGAGGCCCTTTTCTGTGCTTTAAAGTGACGCTGATTATCAGTTTTCCATTTGTTTCTTTCTTAAATTTTATGTTGGAATGTAAATCTTTTTCTATTTGTGAGGTTTCTACATGACCTGTGCAGAGGAAGCAAGATCACTGCAGAGACACAAAACCTTACCAGGTATTTTTGGTCTAAATATTTTAGTACAGTTTCTGCAACATATTTGAGCTCATTGTACGTGAATGATTCCTTAATATTGATTAAAAGTCACAGTTCCTGTCTCGTCATAAGTGAAATAATCTTGTGAGATTTTGTGTTTTTGCACTGTAACGAAGCAAAGAAAATATTTTAATAGAATCTTTTCTGACTAGCCGTTTGTCACAAATACAGTTTATTCTCTTACTTCTTTATTTTACTTCTGGAATGTGATATTTACCAAAAACAGAAGTTGACATACAATAACATTCAAGCAAAAATAAGAGCTATTAGCTGATAAACTGGCATTGACAGGACGATGCAGCTGCACCGTCCTTCAGGAGAGTTTATTGTAAATATTTATTATTTCATAAAGACATGACGTCTAGATTCAGTTCTGCTCTTCATATTCCTTCTTTTTGGTGTTTTTTTTTTACATTTTAACACGGCACTGAAAGCAAAAAGCAGCTGAGATTCATATGTTTTAAAATGGATTTGAATCAGTTTCTATTAAAGCAGAAACATTGGCATATATCACATTAGTAAAGCATATAATTTAGACCTTTAATCAGACAATACAAACATTTATAATAGCCGGTTCACTTGAAAACACATTTTAAATATATCTGTTTAAGATTATCTTCAACACTTTGGAGGACGGAAGCTTTTCAACACATAGTTAATGTTTTTTTATGGGTGCACTGATTTATCGGTGCTGATTTCCTTAATTTTGGGAGATTGGTGATCGGCTGATGTTTGCATGTGAAGCTGATATCATCCACTGATCTTTTCTGCTTCAGCAAAAGTCTAAAAATCAATCGCCGTCCTCTCATGTCAGAGAGAGACAGGCCTGGCAGACCGACTCTCCAGGTCACGTCTGCACATTTACAGTAAAAATAGTCGCCCCACTGTTGCCGACTCATCAACTTTCTTGCCATATTCAGCAACGTTTCAGACAAAAAACTAATTGCTATCGGACGAAATCAGAATCAGCAGGTCAGGCTTTTTAAAAGATGGTGATGAGCAATGGGACAGAAAACAGCAACAACTTCTGTTCTGATGTGGCCTTCCTATAAGACAAACAGCTCAGGTAAACAAAGAGAAGCTGATTTCTACTTTAAGTGACTAACCAAAGGCAAAATCAAACGAGATAATAAAAGTTTAAACATACGTGGCAGAATACTCGAACAGTCCGTAGTACGGGTTGAACATCTCCTTGGACATGAGGAAGAACCACTCTCTGGCCAAGCCGCCGTAGTCCAGGCCCTTTTCTCCCTCGAACTCCACCCAGAGTCGAGCCTTCAGCAGCTCCGGCCGCTTCACCGCCAGGATGCGTCTGTAGGAATCCTCCAGCACCGAGTTTCGTTTCAGCTTCAGCTCAAAGCGGTTCGGGATGTCGGCCTTTGTTGGGAACAAACGGCGTTCAGCTGTTACCTGCCGCATCAGATCTGTAATCGCTGCTGCTGTCTGATGAGACTCACCGGTTTGATCAGCTTCTTTCTGAAAAACTCGTACTTCTGCTTGTAATCTCGAGAGTAAGGCACGGCCTGCGATGAAACGACGGCATTAAGAGACACTACAGCTTTTTACTCACCGCAAAAACACAAAGTCCTAAGTATTTTTGTCCTGTTTCTAGAGCAAATATTTTAATAAATGGAATAAATAAGACTTTCAGCAGGAAACATGAGCTTGTTTTCAGTAAATAATTCTTTAAATTTGATGAAAAAGTCCTAGTTGATTTGTAAAGAGTCTGAAGAGTTACATGTAAGGTAGTTTTGTCTCATTTTACGTGTACTACAATAGAAATGAATCCAAAAATCGTGTTTTTTCAGTGCTTTTATGGCAAAATGTTTCTTTCTATACTCACTGGACCGGTTATAGCCGAGTTCTGCAGTCTGGGATCCTCCCACTGTGTGGCTCTGGTGTCTATCAGATGAAACATTTTATAAATGTCATCCACAGACAGTAAGACAATGTTAATTTTGAGTCTATGAAAGCGTACGAACTGTGATTTATGAAGAATATCCTGCCATCGCTGTGGATCCGCTCCTCCCATCCAGGCTGCAAACAAAGAAAACATCAGAAACATGTTACAGAACTTCATGTCCACCAAGCATCCAGCGACCTAAATACATATATACACAAGCATTTGTCCCAGCCATGTTGTCTGCAACCAAAGAGCTTACTGGCAGCGGGCCGAGGTCTTTGGGGTCGAGGGAGCCGGTCCTCCTTATCTGCGGAGGAATCCTGAGCCTGGGATCTTCCTGAGGAGAACAAGCAGGTTGTGTTTCAGTCACAGATAAATAACGTCAGTCGGTGACGGAGATCAGACGCCGCTCCTGCTCTCACCCAGGTGGTCATCTTTGTGTTGTGATTGATAAAGAAAGGTCTTCCGTTTGGAGCGCAGCGCACCTCCCAGCCCTGCGGTAAGCCTGAGGCCTCTGCGCTGGGTCTGGGTTGAGCGGCGTCTGTAGGGCTGACCGCCGCCGGCTGGGACTGCGGGCTGGAGTTCTGAGGCGAAGCTGATCCACTCTGTGGTGCCGCCGCCGCCGCCGCCACCGATGCTGCTGCTGCTGGTGCGTCTGCAGGTTTCTGTCCAACAAATAAACCAATAAAGTTTTATATAAAGTTTAGTATAAGAATTGGAAGAAACAGAATCGATTATTTTATAAACAGGGCAGCTTTTGTGAAACCAAATTTAATCAAAGTTTAAAATAAATCTAAAAATAAGACGATTATTTTCTCTCGCCCTTCCTGTGATTTTGTTGTGACCTGCATTTTTTATTATGTGAATGTGTTTGTATTAGTTGGTTTTATTTAATGGTTTCAATGAGTAATAAAAAATAAAGTTAAAAAAAATTTACATAAAGCTCAGCATAGCAATTTTTTTCCTGTGAAATTTCATGAATTTATATTTTATACATTATTAGAGTCTAAAGTCAAAGTAGAGAAAGGTTTGTTTTAAAAAATGTCAAATATTAAAAAACAATAGTTTTCAGTTTGAGAGTCGTGTGTGGAACGATTGTTGGGACAAGTTAAAACTGTCTTTCACTCTAAATTTAAAAAAGTTTACAAACAATTTGTTAAACAAATACAACAAGGTCTGATTATGATCATTTTCATTTATGAGTTCGTCTACAGACTCAGTTAAAATTCCTTCAAGATATATTTTAGATAAATACACAGGAAAAACTCTGCTGTTTAAATTTAGAAATGACTGTATTTCAAAATTAATACAGCCATTTAAAAGTGAAGGTATGATAAGCTTATTATTCCACTTACACGCTTTGGGTCTCCTCTTGTCATTGACAGAAATTTAAATATTCCTGTTTCCTGCTGATTTGTTAACCAAATCGAGTTCATTCAACTGGTGTTGCCTCTCCAGTCACTTCAATTCAAAAACCTTTTTCATTGCTAAATTATGCAATAAATAGACATACGAGCTCAACAACAGAGATATTTGTTTTCAATCTGTAATTTAACCATCAGTTTGGTGAGAAGCGTTATTATTATAGCCATTCAGCTTTCAAGTGTGTCAGGAAACTATGAACCTTCACATAATGTGGGACGTCTGTGCTTGCTGCAACATGAGTTGCATTCAGATGATACTTTAGGCTTGGACAGATTCGCTGATAAGCCAACTCCTTTTTGCAGAACTTGCACACAACAGCGCCCATCAGGTCATCTTTAAAAGCAAAAATGAACCACCAGAGGGCCAGGAGAGGATGTTGACTGTGTGTCAGATTTATGGCCAGAAACACAGAACAAAGATCAAGCGACTAGTTGAGTGATCTTTGTTTTGCCAGATAAACAAAAATAAACCTCTGCTATTAGTTAGTGTAGGACGTTTTCTTTACTTAAGGTTAGAGGTGTGCCGATCGATC